CATCTAGTAAATTTATACTGTATAAGTTTCTACAATTCTATGAATTCTAAAATAGTGATAGGTGATAATCAAACTATGCCTAAACCCTTTTCTGAAGTAGACATTAGAATGGAATCTTATGCAATATCAATATATTGTTGCCAAACAGTTGTGTTCTATAAGTAGCATAGTATGATTAAAGTTTAATACTATATAAGCACTTTTAGGCTGTGCTGGTTTGCTTTTTGGATTATTTAAGCTTAAGAAAGTGTTGAATTTATTTCATAATTATACTCAATCAGCAATTTCTAGAAAAAATAAAATATCTCATCTTAAAGGATCAAACTGAACAGACAACGAGAACTATGTAATTTGATTATCGAGGGACTCAGCTTCTTCATTGAAATTAGAACCATCAGCTCACTCAACAGCACTGGAACCACCAGCTCCCTCAATATTATTAGAACCAAAAGTTCCATCAACAGCATTAGACCACCAGAACCTTCAATACTAAAAACTAACTCGGCCAAAAAAAATAAAAGAAAGCAGTTACTATTAACCTTATTTATGATATTTGTTGATGTGGGTTTACTGCTCATTATATATTATATTCTGGTAAATTTTATACCCATTGTTTGGGCACTAGTTATATCAGGTATCCCACTGATGATTTCTGTTGTTTTTAATTTTATTCTTCACAAACATGTCAACGCCGTGGAAATACTTTGTATGACAGGTTTTATTGGTGGAGTTATATTGTCGCTAATTCAAGATGATCCCAAGTTATTCCTATTATGAGATTCATTTATAAGTAGTATAATTGGTCTAGTATTTATTATCACTTTGATTCCGATAAAAGTCGGTTCATTCCAGATGAGACCTTTAATATATTATAATATTCAAAATCTGGGAATAGGTAATCTTAAGGGTTTAATGGAAGATGAACCTATTCCTGATCGTTGGGAAAGGTATTGGAGAACTTACGCTGTGTTTAGATGGACATTTATTATTTTGACTGCTATTTGGAGATTTGGTTTACTTTTTGAAATTCCTTTCCATGTTCTAATTATTTATAAAACAAGAACAACTAACGATGCAGTTTATATTGGAGCTATTTTTGGTTATAGTTGGTTCGGTTGTTTAATTTTGTCTAGTACTATATTTTCCAAATGGATGCAAATATTATTTGTGAACTGACGTAAAAAAGAAGTAGCAACTACCGCTGCTAATAGTGAAATTTAATTATATATATAGAATAGACCATTGTACTAAATGAAGCAGAAGATTTTAATTTATTATACGATACTATAAAATAAATCTACTTTGTTTTTGTACAAAGCTTGGTACTGTAAACTAAAAATAATTAAAAAATTGTATAAAATTGGCACACAAGTTATAAGTTAGTTTAGAGATTTTATTAATCTGTTGTGAAATAAATTATAAACCAACTTTGCAAACCATTTCGTCGACAACTATTTCTTGGTAGTGTTGATTCGAGGTAGTTCATATGGCTATTGGCAAATTTTACAAAACTATGTAACAATGGCGAAATAATACTGTAATTGTTTTATAACGTTGTTAAATTAGCTTTGCATAAAAAGAATTGATATTACAATAAATACTAATATAAAACACATAGAAATTGTGAATGCATATAATCGGGCGTGTCCACCATACATTTTGATTTAGTTGCATTAACATGATATGCTAAATTATCACTAAATGCCAATACTAATATTATCATTAGTTTTTTTAAAGCAATTTTTATTTGTATATACATGGTTGTTATAAAACAAAACTTGAGATTCTAACAAAAAATATTTCTTGCAAAATTTTAGTATAAACTATAACACTTTCCAACCTAAAGTTAACCCTTACCCTAACCTTAAACTAGATTAATTTTTGTTTGAAAATTTGTAAATTAATAACTAATATCCGTGTATAAACACAATGTGCAAACTAATAAATTTCCTTTATTTAATAAATTAATTAAAGCGTCACTTTGCATTTTTCATGAATCGATATTTTTCCATTACATACAACTAATTATGTCATGATCTTTTCTAACGAATCGTGTTTGGTCCTCTTCAAGTCTAATTACTAATGATGCAGGCATTTCTCAGAGTAGTAACTACTTATGGCATTACAGCTATGACGTAGAGGTTGTGCCACCCGAGGTTATATTGCCGTGAGATAGTTGTCATGAGTGATATAGTATGCCTTATAGCATTAATACCAGTCAGGGAATATGTCACATAGAGTGATATTTTATAATAAAAACTAGAGCTGCAGACATTAGAATATCAATTAATATTTACTATGACATTTGACATGACATATGTGACGTGCCGTTTACTATATTTATATATAAATTTTATATGATGTAAGGAGTGATGTACTACCTTGGACCTCTAAATGTTTGCAGCTCTAATAAAAATATAATAAAAACATAAAAAATTACTATAAACTTTAAACTCCAGATTATTTCCAACTTACATATTAACTTAATTTCAAATTTTAGAATTAAGTATATCAGTCACAGGACATGTCGATCACGTTGATTTTTATATAGTAATTTTTGCGTAATGTATAATATCGTGATTTTTTTTTTGACATATGTCAAATACTAATAATAAATTATGTCTTTAATCTTAGACAAATTTTATTTTTCAAGTTTTGAACTTTTGTTTTATAGCAAAAACAAACCTATTACTTTATTTTATAT